CCCCCTCCCCTCCCCTTCTCTCCCCTCCCCCTCTCACCAGGGCGATCTTGTTGTCTGTGCTCCTCTGATTCTCATAGACTATGTCACAGGTGACACACAAGGCGTTGCCCAAGCCTCTGGTCAGGGGCAGGTTGGGGTCGGCTCCCTTGGACAGGAGTTCCTTCACGACCTGGAAACAGCAGCCATCAGGCCACTCCCAGAAGCCACCCCGGCCTGGCGTGGCTCCCACCCACGGATGTGTGCCGCCCTTCCCACGCAGGCCATGCTCCTTGGAGAGGAGCCAGGCCCCGTGCTCCGACCGCCCTGCTTCCATCCCGCCTTCCCACCTGAAGCAGACCTGGCCCTGAGCAGGGTCTGGCACAGGGCCAGGAGCCCGGGGCCTGGCCCCTGTGACTGAGCTGCCCGCCGGTGAGGGCCGGCTCCCCCTGCTAGAAGATGAGATCCTTGAGAGTGAGGCCTTTGGTTTGTTAAAAACCTACTGCCCACATGTTGCCTGTTTGCCCTTAGCGGGGGCTCAATAAATAGTTCAATGAGAGATGAGTGGGTGAGTAGAATCTGCATTGACCAGTGGATGGGAGCACAGATGGATGGGTGGATGAAGGATGGGCAGGTGTGTGGCTGGTGCGAAGGTGGACAGATGGGCAGGTGAACAGGTGGTAACCAACCACAGCAAATCCCAGGCGCCGACGTGGGGGAGGTGCCCGGGTTTCCGACGCAGAACACGCTCACCAGGTCATTCCCGCTGGCAATGGACAGGGAGAGTGGGGAGTGGCCGCTCCACAGCAGGTTCGGATTCGCTCTGTGGGTGAGGAGGAGGCGAACCACGTCCCTGGCACACTGGGGAGGAAGGAAGACAGAGTGGGGCCCATCCCAGCGCCACTCCCAGGAGCCCGAGAGCCATGGGCAGCAAGGCACTGGGGCCCATCCCAGCGCTGCGCCTTTCCACCAGTGCTGCCCTGCAGAAGCTGCTCCTCCCCACATGGGGCGCAGCCTCAAGCCCAGGAGGAAGGACATGGATTGGACCCGCCCGTTGACCAGGGGTGGTCAGGAACAAGCGGCCTGACTCAGGGCAAGAGTGGTAGGTGGAACGTGCCCCTTTGCTGGGCTCGGGGTTCCCGCAGGTCCCCCAGAAGTGTCCCACTGTGGAGACGCATCCCTGTCTCCTCTGTATTGACACGGTGGGCACTCTGGACATGACAGGCTTTTGAGGCCAGGGCCCCCACTTCCCTGTGGGAGCCCTTCCCTATCACTCCAGGACTAGACCAGGGTGGGGTCAGCAGAACTCTGCTGAGGGCTCCTGGAGGGGTTCCCTCCTCTCTCCCGCTGGAACACAGATGCCATGGCTGGATGGCGGCAGACTTCCTGCCCTCACCACTGGCACCTTTCCTGGTGAACAAACTGTCCTGAACTTAGTGACACTATCCCTTCAGTGTCTCCTGGCTTCCCACTGGAGGACCCTGAGTCTGTGGATAGAAAGGGGCAGGCCAGAGGCCTCGGTCACCTGACTTCTTGAAGCTCTGCGGACCCATTCCTAATGTGGGTTCCTGGCACCCCTGGTGGCTGTGGGGCCGGGCCCCTCCCCCTCCTCTCCCTGCCCTACAAGGAGCCAGATGGGCCCCACGCCACTCCTCTCCCCTCTCTCCGCTTCCCACACCCCCACACCTGACACACATACTGGGCTCTCACTGCAGGCAAACTGGCCACTATTTCATGGGTAAACTGAGGCTAGATTTTTCTTTGTTCTCCTCAGCCACTAGGCCAGGTATACAGGCCGCTGCCTGTCAAGGCTGAGACCTGGCTTTCTGCCCCATCCCATGCCTACAGGGGCAGCACAAGGCAGTTCCTGCACAGTGGCACCAGGATAGCCCACGGTGAGACACTCAGATCAGCTTGTGCGTGTGTGTGTGCGTGTGTGTTTGTGTTCTTGTTTGTAATCATGCATGTGCTCATGTTCATGCATGTGCTCGTGTTCATGTAGATGCCCTGTCCATGTGTGTCTGTGCTCATGTGTGTGCTCATGTGTGTACCTGTGCTCATGTGTGTAGCTGTGCTCATGTGTGTGCTCATGTGTGTACCTGTGCTCATGTGTGTAGCTGTGCTCATGTGTGTAGCTGTGCTCATGTGTGTGCTCATGCTCATGTGTGTATCTGTGCTCATGTGTGTGCACATGCTCATGTGTGTACCTGTGCTCATGTGTGTGCACATGCTCATGTGTGTACCTGTGCTCATGTGTGTGCACATGCTCATGTGTGTACCTGTGCTCATGTGTGTGCCTGTGCTCATGTGTGTGCTCATGCTCATGTGTGTACCTGTGCTCATGTGTGTGCCTGTGCTCATGTGTGTGCTCATGCTCATGTGTGTATCTGTGCTCATGTGTGTGCACATGCTCATGTGTGTACCTGTGCTCATGTGTGTACCTGTGCTCATGTGTGTACCTGTGCTCATGTGTGTATCTGTGCTCATGTGTGTGCACATGCTCATGCGTGTACCTGTGCTCATGCGTGTACCTGTGCTCATGTGTGTACCTGTGCTCATGTGTGTACCTGTGCTCATGTGTGTGCTCATGTGTGTGCTCATGTGTGTGCCTGTGCTCATGTGTGTGCTCATGCTCATGTGTGTGCCCATGTATATGTATTAATGCTCATATATGTACTCGTGGTCATGTGTGTGCCCATGTTTATGTGTGTGCTCACACATGTGCTCATGCACCTGTGTGTGCTTGTGCTCATGTATTTGTTTGCATTCATGTGTGTTAGTTTACTCGTGTGTGCCCATGTTCACTTGATCATGTTCATGTGTTAGTCCTTGCACAGTGTTCTTGTGTTCATGTGTGCTCATGCTTATGTGTATGCCCATGCTCATGCATTTGTGCTCACACGTGTTCATGTGCACTCATGCTCATGTATGTGCTTCTGTTCATGTGCTCTCATGTGCCTGTGTGTGCTCACTATCATGTGTTTGTGTTCATGGTGTTAGTGTGCTCGTGTGTGACCATGTTGTGCCCATGCTCATGTGTGTGCCTGTCCTGTTGCTCACGTGTGTTCATGTGTGTGCTCGTGTGTGTGGGTTTGTGCTCACATGCAGCACTGGTCCACACACTCCAGAACGTGCATGAAGCATGGTGTTCTCCATTCATTTGAAGCTGCTGTCTTTTCTTCCATCTGGAAGCCCAGGACATAGCCCATTTCACTGGCCATGACCCCTACCAAGACAGCTCTCTGTTTGGGAGTCCCAGACCTGGACCCCATGGGAGGTGCCCATCCCCCCTGACAGCTGCTGGTTCCTGCTGAGGCACACACACATGCATGCATGCATCGTGCAGGCATGCACAGGTCACCCAGCCATGCTCTTGTGGTATGCATGCACACGTTCTTAGACACTAGGACCCACCGCCCTGCCCTGCATCCCCCTGTGGCTTGGTTTTTGAATGAGAACACACATTTCCCAAGAGGTAACCCCGATCACAGAGCAACCTGACCAGCCCGGCGGGGCCCAGGCCGCTCACCTTCCTGCTGTCCTCCCGCTCGCAGGCCACGTGCAGAGCTGTCCTGCCGCCCTCCTCAGGGACACATGTGGGAACTGCCGTGTAGTAGCTGCTAGGCGGGCCCAGCTCGTTGTTGAGCTTCAGGCTCGAGGGCAGTAGGTCCAACTGTGCACAGATGCAGGGGTCAGGAGCTGGACCCCAGCCCCTCCTCTGTCCTTCTGAATGGGAGAACCAGCCTGCCTGGCCCTGCTGCCGTGATCCTCCCCCCACGATCCTGCCCCAGTGCCCAGCCTCTGCAATCCTGCCCTGAGCCAGTCAGACTCCCACAGCGGTGGGAGCGTCAGAGCCCTCCCGGCCGGCTTCCCACACATGCACACAGGTGCACGTCCTCAAAGTCTCTTCACGTCCAGGGAGCCACAAGGAGGAAAATGAGGGTGCATGGTTGCCTCTCTTCCTCTTGAAAGAGCCAGGAGGGCTCCCTAGGGGAGGCGGTCTAGCTGGTCTTACAGGTGGAAGAGGCTGAGCTACAGACAGGAGTGCCACCAGACCCCGTGCCCTTGCCTGTGTACCACTGTGCCCCACCCAGGCAGCAAGGGCTCCTGCCCTGCTCCCAGCCTCCTGGACCTGGTCAGTCTGGTTAGACCAACATGCAACCTGGGAGCCGTGGGGCCTCTACACCCAGGGCCCTGCCTGTCCTACTGTTCCAGCACACAGCCTTGTGAGGGAAGGGGCTAGACCAAGCCAGCAGCCTCTTTCCAGGGGCAAAGACACAGGACCGGCCTGGCAACTGTCCCTGACAGCCTCCGGCATTGCCGCCAAGTCTGGAGCCAGGAGCCTACTCGGCTCCTCCACCTTCGGAGAGCAGTGAGTGAGAGAAAGAGCAGGGAGGAGCGTGAGAGGCCAGCCCTTGCCTACAGGAGGCAGCGGGGAGGCTGGACAGGGCCGTGGGCAGAGCTGCCTGACCCTGTGGGCAGCAAGGCTCCAGCCTGAGAGGCCAGCCTTCTGAAGGCATGAGGCGGGCCGCTTACAAAGTGTCCCGTGGACACCCATCTTCAGCAAGCCCACCAAGCTGCCTGAGTAAACAGGTCTTGGCTTACTGATTTCAATCAATTGTTTTTATCCTACATCTCTAGAAGTATGTGGGCTGAGCCTCCTCACACAGCTGACCCACACTCTCCGCTGTGCCCTCCTCCAAGAGGGGCCCATGATGTCAGCTGAGTGCAGGAGCTGCACCTGAGAACATCATGGCAGCGTCCAGCCTTGGAGCCTCTGCCCCCTCCCCTCCCCTCCCCTCCTCCCTCCCCTCCCCTC